TGTCTCTCTCTCTCAAATAAATAAATAAAATCTTTAAAAAAAAAAAAAAGAAAGAAAGAAGGCCAGTACTAATTCCTAAGTTAATGTCCTCTACAAATCTAGAAGTATTAAAAAATAAAATAAAATCTAGGGGCAGCTGGTTGGCTCAGTTGGTACAGCATGAACTCTCTTGAGTTCAAGCCCCATGTTGGGCATGGAGCCTACTTTAACAAAATAAATAAATAAAATAAAATAAAATCTAAAAGTGTTATTTGCCTCTTGTCACAAATGCTAAAGAACTCACTTTAAAAACATGAGACAAATGATTTTGAGGGCCAGAAGTGAACTTAAAATCTTATGTTAACACTAAACTGTAGACTTAAAATTGGTTAAAATGGTTTTATGTTAAATTTTTTTAAAATCATATGTAAGTTCTCCTCTGAATCATGCTGGTTTCCCCTTAAAACAAATAAATCTATTAAGCTACATTAAAGGATGAGAAATCATTAAATGGAATGTGCTTAAATTATAAATGGTTAAAAAGCTTCAGTGATTTGAATTAACAGAAACTTTCTGACCTCTTAAGGAAGGTGTTTATTAGATATTCTCCATCTCAAAGGAGGGTATAAGCAATGAAAAAGTTTTAAATTGCAGTAAGAGAGATTTAGTTTTGACAAAATTCTAACTAGAAAAGTAATTAAACACTATAATAAGGTATCATGCAAATTTCTGCCCTCAGGGATGCAAGAATAAGCTGTCTTGGAAGGATTATATGCAATTCTTCAGGAAAAACTGGAATGAACTAGAGAATCTCTTAAGCCTGCTTCCAGTTTTAGAATTCCAGGTTCTATACTCACAGCCCAGTAGTGTCTCTGCAAGACATTCCACCTACAGAAAGTTATAGTAATCCACAAGTCATTTCAGTTGGCTTCAGATACTGGGTCTTCTCACCACACCATTTATTCACTTTATGTACTCACTTAGGAACTGAAAATTGACTACTTTTGTTAAGAGGCAGTTCCATCAATCTCCAGCAGCATGGCTGCCAGCTCAGGTATAAACACTACAAAAACACTTAAACTGAAACATACTTCATCCCAAATTAAACAAATAGAAATATCTACATAATGCACAATGAACTAAAGACTAGGGGAAAAAAAATCCTTTATAGGGTAGGTAATTTACAAAGCCAAAACATCCAATTTAGTCAGTTCTTCAACGGCTTAAGAAGTTATTTGTTACCGGGGAGCCTGGGTGGCTCAGTCATTAAGCGTCTGACTTCAGCTCAGGTCATGATCCCAGGGTGCTGGGATCGAGCCCCGCATCAGGCTCCCTGCTCGGCGTGAGGCCTGCTTCTCCCTCTCCCACTCCCCCTGCTTGTGTTCCCTCTCTCACTGTCTCTCTCTGTGTCAAATAAATAAATAAAATCTTAAAAAAAAAAAAGTTATTTGTTACTGACAACAAAAAATACTTACTTTTGAAAACAAAAGCATAGTCTTTCCAACTCAAGTTTCATTTTAGAAAACTTATGGCTTTCATTTTAAAATGATGATTTTTAATCTACCATATTATTTTCTAACAGTTATCAAACAACTGAATGGTGGTTATTTATTAAAACCCACAGCAGGCACTTATGAAGTTACAGTAAAGTTAATCATCTCAAATTCAACAGGTTAATCACAGCCATTTGAGATTTTGCCAACCTGTCTTAGGATCTATCTCAACAGTGTGCAAAATTGGACATTAAATAACACTTGAAAACATACATTTCTAGACTATATATCTCTTAACACACAAATGTTTTGACCAAGTATGTATACATGACTGTATTTATTTTAACTAGCTTTTTTTTCTTAGATGCAGAATTTATTTATAAAACATGTTACAGAAAATTCAATTCATAAAACCACCTTTTCAGGCAGAGGTTATCAGAATTTTAAGATTCTTGACAATTATCAAATACCCTTTCAAGTTACTAAAGTGCTAAACTTGCTTTTAGGTAGAATGAAATTCTCAGTACCAAGATATCAGTTACTCCACTTTTATGTTAGGTGGACAAAGGGAAATTAACACTAATTACTGTGTTTGTGTGAGTGGTACGATTTGTTGAAGGTTTGTGAACAAATAACGTTCGACTGATAATTCAGAGAAAAAAGTCTTTATCAAAAGGATATATTTCTTTGAGGTGGGTTAGCAAATATGTGATTGTTTTACACAAAACTTTTGGCTAAGCCACAGAAAGAGCTGTATTACAGTCTAAAAATATACTTCTATGGCTATTAATTATGATGATTTATTTAAAATAAAAATCTAGGGGCGCCTGGGTGGCTCAGTCGTTAAGCGTCTGCCTTCGGCTCGGGTCATGATCCCAGGGTCCGGGGATCGAGCCCCGCATAGGGCTCCCTGCTCAGTGGGAAGCCTGCTTCTCCCTCTCCCACTCCCGCTGCTTGTGTTCCCTCTCTCGCTGTATCTCTCTCTGTCAAATAAATAAAATCTTTAAAAAAATAAATAAATAAAATAAAATAAAATAAAATAAAATAAAAATCTAATATGACAAATTTAGCCAGGTCAAAATAGGAATCAAAATATAATACTGGAGCTAACTGCTTTCATTAGAAAGAAAAGAATACCAAGCCTCACTCCCTTCAGTTCACAAGTAATTCTTCATTTTATAATCAAAAACAAAGAATATGACTTCTACAGCCAAAAAATAAGGTAATATGGCTCAAAGCTGAGTTATCACTTAATTGCCTCGATTCCTAAGAAGCTACTAACTTCTAACTGCTTTAAAACCTGAACCCATCTTTTAATGGCTTACTGCTTTGCTTAGAAATGTATCACACTTTGTTTCATACAGAGATGCTATCTCATTAGAATACGTGCTCTGTGCCTTTGAGCTTAATAATTTTTTATTAAGAAATTCAAATAAAATTTTTCTAATGCAACTATAATTTTTAAGTTTTTTTTTTCTTATCCACACTGGGCCTCACCTTTCACAACACCTAAAAACAAACAATCTCAGATGTTAAACACACACACCTCAAACATATAAAATTCATTACACTGGTTTTGTAGCCATAATAATTATACTAATAAATACTGACTCTAAAGAACTAAAAACTTATAGGGGCAGGGTTTAAATGGTACGACTCACAAGGGGGTGGGGAGAAATAATGATCCTCCCCTACCAAACTGGCAGCAACAATATGCCAAGTTTCCTATGCTGAACTAGTGTAAACAAGGAAGAAAAAGAGCTGGGGGTAGGAAGTAGGCAGGCAAGAGAACCCTCGTCAAGATACAGCTTTACTTCTAAATTTCACTAGCATAATACCTGTTCTCAGTATTTTCAGTAACCCCTACCAAGGACTATTTAAACACCATAGGTTGGTGTTCAGAAAACTACTGTAGGCTGTAGTCCCTCTCTTAGATAATCCCAGGCATAAAAGATAGAAGTGGGGATCACAAATGCTTCTTCAACTATAAAGACTATCTCCTGCATTGAATGCCTCAAAAAGTTTTCTAAACATCTAGAAATTCAATCCCACTCTTGCTATAACAATCAAGTTTAAAGATAAAATAATGGACCTACCAATGACGCTACAAAAAAAATTTCACATCTCACCTTTGGTGTGACCACAGCTACAAGTAAGATGAGCATCATTCCAGACAGGACTAGAAGAGGAATGGGATAAAGACTAGGCTTACAGCCTCTTTTTTCTGGCATTGCCTGAGGCATTCAGTGGACGTGGAATAAAGGGGAAGCTGGTTGTATAAGCGATGCCAAGAGAAACAAGATTCCACATGTCAGGGGACTGAATGCCCAAACACAGAGAGCAAAGGGCACTCATCCCCTGGCTTTCTGACCAAAGAAAAATGAGTTGTTTCACCTGAAATCCTTTCAAAGGAAGTCTAATGGTCTCTAGTTTATCACTCACCCTAAGTGAACTCAACAGCCCCTCCTCAGAGAACAAGCCCTGCTTATCAAAAATAGCAAGTGCTACATCCAAAGCCAAGAAACACTCCTTTAGTCCAAGTGCCATGGTCTTCTGCCCCAATTCTACAAGGAGACTCCAAGCCAAAAAACTTGGTTCCCAGACTAAGCCAAGTTCTCCATTTTCCCAAACATCCCAAACAGAGCTTTATTTCAGATAAGCTCCTCTCCATTCTGGCATTCTGGAGTCCAGGGCTCCAAGCCCCTCCAAAAGTTCCGTCCTCCAAGATAATCTCCTTCCCTTCACTTTTCCTAAGGATTTTCCAGACCCTGCCCCAGGTCTAGCACTCTCGGTCCTCCGTTAGGAGATCTACTAGTAGATCCCACTCCTCCCTGGCACAACTCTCAGGAAAGTCATCTCTCTTACGGTACTCACTTGTCCTCCCCCATCGTATTTTTTTCCTTTTTCCCTATCTGTCCTCAAAACACACACACACACACACCTATCTGTCCTCGAAACACACACACACACACACCTATCTGTCCTCGAAACACACACACACACACAATCTGTTCTCAGCTCCTAACTCCCAAGTCTCTCCCGTGCCCCAGGTTCTTCCACAAGACCTAATTCTCTCCCAGAGTTCCCCCTCATCCCTGTCTTCCTCAACCCCAACTCCATACCCCAAGCTTTTTTCCCCACTCCCCAAATTCAGATTTCCTGTGCTGTTTACTCTTAACCAACACCACAGCCCTCTTGCTCCCAGGTCTACCCCTATGCCTCGATACTCAAGTCTTTCCCCTCTTCCCACGTTTCTCGGCCCCTAATTCTCTGCAGAACCTCAGGAGCCCCTCCCCAATCTCCCTTCCTCCCCTCCTGCACTCCGTGGCCCCCCACTCCCCTCGTACGTCCTCTCTAGCCTTGCTCAGCCCCCAAATTTCTCCCATGTCCCTGAGGCTCCCCCACGCGCCCTCCACGCCCCGGGAAGGGGGTGCCCCTCAGTGCCCGCCCGGCCCGCCCTGCCGCCGGGCTCGGGTGTCCCTTCCCTTCCCCGTGGGCCCCAGTGCTGGCGCGGCGGGGCCGGCTCACCAGTTGGTCATGTCCAGGAAGAAGGCGCAGCCGGCCGGGTTGAGCTGGAAGCCGAGCAGCCGCTGGAACTCGGAGATGAGCACGTCCTTGTCGGTGGTGCCCAAGCAGCTGAACTTCTGCATCAGCTCGGGGTCCAGGTCCACGTCCATGCCCTCCATGGCTTGGGCCGGACGCCCGCTTCCCCGCCTCCTCAAAACCGAGCCGCCGCCGCCGCCGCGCCGCCGGGCCCGGGGACCGGGAGGGGGCCCGCTGCTAGCTGGCGCCGCGACCCCGCTCCTTTGAGGTAGGCCCCGGGCCTCTCACCGCCTCATAGGGATAAACTCACTCAGCCACTCACTCACTCTCTCGCTCCCCCCCCCTCCCACCCCCCCCCAGCGCCGCCGCCTCCGCCGCCGCCGCCTCTCGCTTCTCCGCCGCCTCCGCCTCCTCCCGCGCCGCGCCCACTGCGCAGGCGCCGCCCGCCTTGCCCCGCCCCTTCCTCTCCGGGAGCCCCGCCCCTCAGTGGCGTCACAACCCCGTGACGTCCCCCGCGTGACCTCACCGCGGTGGAGCGAGGGGGCGGGTAGTGGGAAGGAGGAAAGGGACGGCCGGGTGGTTGGGGTGACTCCTGGCCTGACCTTCTCCTCGCCCCGCCCCCACTCTCAAGGGGAGGAGTTAAAGCCCGGGTCTTGGGAGAAGCTCCGGGATCTCGGTCTACGGCACCTTCATTTTGCAGGTGAGAAATCAAGTCTGAGAGAAGAGACTAGGGCAAGGTCAAGTACCAAAGTGCACGCAGAACACAGTCTTCTTAGCCAGGGGTTTGCCCCTCGCCCTGGCAGGGCTTTTTGCATAAGTTTTAAGAGCTGCTTTTCTGGATCGTTAGTGCCGTGAATCCTTGGTTCCCTGCCGCCCTTCATAATGGTTACTACAATTTATCAGTGCTGTTTCTGTTATGCAACAGTAGTATCAAGTCTCTGGAAAGTAAAGGAGGCCTGGATACGAACGTCAATCACAGATCCAGACAGCAACACACGTAATCTCCCACCCATTTGGGCAGGACCAACCCTCTCAAAATAAAGGTTAAGTCACGAGAATTTGGCATACCTTGTGTTTTTAAAATAGAAAACAAAATATTGCTGTACATATGGTACACCTGCCTGGTCAAGGCCCCATTTCAAGATCAAAGAATGAGAAACGCAGCATAGGGACCATCTTGTCTACCCCCTTGCATTCCTATTTGCCCAACACCGCTACATCCAACAGGGGAAATGATGAGTAAGAAATGGCCTTCCGCCTTCAAGTAGCTCTCTGTTTTACAAATAAGGAAAGTGAGATACAGAAAGCTTTTATGTCTTGTCCAAAAATATAGAGCAGTAAAACTAGAACCCACCTTTCAGATTCTGAATGGGGTATGTTTTCCATAACAGTTTCAACAGCAGACAGCACTAGAATACGTGACCAATAGTGTCTGGGTTGCTAGAAGTTTTTAGAAAGGGAAAGCATTTTACCTCCTCCTGTCCCAGTACCAAATAAGACTTAATAAAATATAATGGCTTTAAAAGCCTGGGTTCTGGGTCATACACATTTAGGATTCAAATTCTCATTCTGCCAATTCTTGGTAATCACAGTGCCTGCTTGGATAGGATTGCTGTGAGAATTAAATGAGATAAAATATGTAAGCTCAATACAGTGCCTATTCCATAAAAAACCCTTCAAGAAATGATAACTATTGTGGCCACAAACATAAGATGATTATGGGAATAGACAATGGTACTAGTAGCCCAGATCATTTCTTCACCTGGCTACCCTTCTACTTTATTTCCCTTCCTTGTCCTCTCTTAAAATATGGAATGTATGCCCTTTCTCTTCTCCAGTGATTTTTTTTTCCCTCCAACGTGACTATCTTATGGGAGACAACTCTAACAGCATACAGGTATAATACTTACAAACTCTACAGTAATTATAAACATTTTATAAGAAACTGGTCTTACGCCTCTAACACCTGTGCGGAAGCTTAGCTCATTGCCAGGACCTAATTTTTGGGTGGCCACAATGTTGCAATATTTTACTAATATTAAGGAAAATTCTGTCTCAGAGGCGAACACATGTTGTCCCAATATTATGGATGATGGAATGGGGACACAGATTATAAAAAATCTCAATATTAGACCTGAAAGAAACTGAGACTGTCGAGCCCAACCTCCCCATTTTACAGATGAAGAAATTGAAACCAAGAGAGGGTAACTGATCACCCAAGATTACATGCTAGTAAGGATCTCTAAACTCCCAGTCTAGCACTCTATCCACTATATTCTGCTACAGTTCCCCTTGCTTTGAGTTTAGTTTGGCCTTACCTACATAATAATCAGAAATTGATTTTAGGGACACCTCGGTGGCTCAGTCAGTTAAGCGTCTGCCTTGGCTCAGGTCATGATCTCAGGGTCCTGGGATCGAGCCCCGCATCGGACACCTTGCTCAGCCTGCTTCTTCTGCTTGCTGCTCCCCTTGCTTGTGCTCTCTCTCTCTCTGGCAAATAAATAAATAAAATCTTAAAAAAAAGAAACTGATTTTAGTCTATTAACTAAAACTAAGTTAACTTGCAATACCCATGGATTAAAGTTGTGTTGACCAAGAATCCAAGAGAAGAAAATGTTATTGGAACCTGACAACTCTATTAGAATGCTGACGCAAGAGAAACAACTTTAGGCCAACCCCATGCAGTACTAGGGGTATACTAGCTCACACATAAACAGCCCACATAATGCAAAGAGATCCTTGCAAATAAGAGACCCAAGTGGCTGAGAACTTCGGTTCATGGCAGAAGTTATCTCAAAGGAGTGCAACTACTCCTCAAGTGAATTCTATAACATTGTGGGGATATTTTGGTTCTCATGAGATTGGAAGTGGTACGCTAGCCATTAATTCCTTGAGGACCAAGGGTGCTTAACATCTGCAATTCTTGGCATGGTCACCCACAATAAAGAGCTCACCATTCTGATCCACTATGCAAAAACACTGACCAAGGTGACTGGCACATTAGGTATGAAGGAACTACCAACCGCTCCATCCTCCACTGAATGATTCTCTCATGGGATGGGGTATGAAATGGAGAAAATGAGGTGTTACCCAATCAAGACACTCCCAGAAATGAGTTTCCACTTGAATCTGAGGGGTTATTAACACATATGGTTGGCTGTAATGGCTCTGCAGTTTTGTTTCGTTTTGTTTTGTTTTGTTTTGTTTTGTTTTGTTTTGTTTTGTCGGGAAGAAGGCACGGAGAAGGACTGGTTGAGAGACAAAGGGACAAATTGCTGAGCACCACCCTAAGGAAGAAAAGCTGATGGCAATATTCCAAAAGGGCTTCTAGGTATTATCTCAGAACAATGTTAGGAGCTATGCCTGGAGATGCCACTGCCTGGAATATGCCCAAGACCAGCCAGTTTCTTTCTGAATTTCTTGGGCTGGTGATCTCGTATAAGAAATTTTTTTTTTTAAAGATTTTATTTATTTATTTATTTATTTGAGACAGAGAGAGAGACAGAGAGCATGAGAGGGAGGAGGGTCAGAGGGAGAAGCAGACTCCCAGCTGAGCAGGGAGCCTGATGCGGGACCGATCCCGGGACTCCAGGATCATGACCTGAGCCGAAGGCAGTCGCTTAACCAACTGAGCTACCCAGGCGCCCCTCGTATAAGAAATTTAAATGAATCCCAAATCTCCAGACCAGGTTAGTTTCAAAGTTTCTTAAAGGATTTAAGCCATTCTACCACTGGAAGTTGAAAGTCTAGGAGAAAAGTGATTCATCTTACCAGGGCAGCTGAGATTGCCTCCAGATCTCTAAGTCCTTAAGATTCAGAATTGCCAAGACCAGCTAGTACTAAGATTATACTACAGCAAAACTGATTAAGAGAACAGAGTCCAAATAGACATTAGGGTACATTATATGATAATAGCAACTTGTAGTAGAAAGCTTTTGGGTATATATCCAAACTGTGATGACCTCCTTTTCTGCAAACCATTAATGACCCTCTATGTGGCCTCCAGCAGCCATGTCTGCCCTACGTGGCCCTGTCCCTTAGCCCCCACTGATTGGACAAGAGGGAGATGCTTGAGTTAGGATCAGCCAATCAGATTCTCTCTCTCTCTCAGGAATTTGGAACTGAACTCAATGAGTTTGTGGAACAGGCCAGGGCGGTTTACTTGAAAGTGGTAGAAATACAGAAAAGGGACCATCTTTGTGGGGCACCCATGAAAACGAGATAATGCCCATCTGCAGAAAGAGAAACAGAGAAAAACAGAAACAAAGATAAGAAACCTGAAGGCTTGGGAGAGAGAAGTTCCTGTCATCCTGAGTTCTGGTTATTCAGCTTCCTTTAGATTCCATGAAAATCTCCAGGTTCCATTCCAAATAATTCATCTCTTAGGTGAAGTAAAAAAAGAATCAAGTTCTTTTTTTTTTTTTTTTTTAAGATTTTATTTATTTATTTATGAGAGACAGAGAGAGAGACAGAGGCAGAGGGAGAAGCAGGCTCCCCGCAGAGCAGGGAGCCCGATGCGGGACTCGATCCAGGGACTCCAGGATCATGACCTGAGCCGAAGGCAGTCGCCCAACCAACTGAGCCACCCAGGCGCCCCAAGAATCAAGTTCTTTTTTAAAAAATTAAAAAATAAAGTAAATACAGTATTTGATTTCTAGTTAGGGATGGACATCCTTCTCTTAAAATAATGAAAACTTGGGGCTCAGTCAGTAGAGCCTGCAACTCTTGATCTCAGGATTATGAGTTCAAGCCCACATTGGGTATAGAGATTGCTAGAAAAATAAATAAATAAACTTAAAAAATATAATGGGGGCACCTGGGCGACTCAATCAGTTAAGCATCCAACTCTTGATTTCAGCTCAGGTCAGATCATGATGTCAGTGTGGTGAGATCCCAATGGGTTCCATGCTCTGCAGTGAGTCTGCTTAAGATTCTCTCTCTGCCTCTCCCTCTGCCCACACTCCCCCCCGCCCCTACTCCCCCACCCCGCACCCACCCATCATTTGCACATTCTCTCTCTCTCTCTCAAATAAATAAATAAATCTTTAAAAGAAATAATGAAAACTCCTGTAGGAAAAAAAAATGGGGACACAAAGAGGCAATTCACAGAAGAAGAAATACAAATGGCCAGTAAACATATTAAAAGATGTATTATGCTACTCATAGTTAAAGAAATGGATTAAAACAAGGCATCACTTTTTCCTAATCAGATTGTCAACACTTTATAACATAACAGCTTTTGTTGGCAAGAGTATGGAGAAACAGGTCCTCTCAAACACCACTGCTTCTAGGAATGTAAATTGATATAATTTTTCTAAATGTGAGTAGATGTGAATTTAGATGAATT